TCCACTGAGTCCGTGATGCCATCCAGCCATCTCATCCTCTGTTGCCCCCTTCTCCTCTTGCCCTCAATCTCTCCCAGCATCAAAGTCTTTTCCTGTGAGTCAGCTCTTTACATCAGGCCACCAAAATATTGGAGCTTCAGCACCAGCTCTTCCAAAGAATATTCAGGGTTGATTTCTTTTAGGATTGACTGGTTTGATCTTCTTGCTGCCCAACTCTCAAGAGTTTTCCCCAGTCCCACAGTTCAAAAGTATCAATCCTTCATCACTCAGCCTTCTTTACAGTCTAACCCTCACATCCATACATGACTACTGGAAAAACCATAACTTGGACTATATGGACTTTCATCGGCAAAGTGATGTCCCTATTGTTTAACACTCTGTCTAGGTTTGTCATAGGTTTTCGTCCAAGGAGCAAACATACTGAGCACAGTTCAAATTTTAAAATATAATGATACATATTTAGATTTTAATTTGGGGGGGCGCTGCTTACTTTAAAATCATAAAGCAAAACATGACCTCATTATTTTCCGTGTGGAGTCAAGGAAAACAGGATCCCATATCCAGCATAATACACGAAAGTAGCCGTGACAGTGTTCTATTCAAAAACAGAATCTCCTAGTCGCCTGTTGGGAAGCCAAGCCAAAGAGTGCGTAGTTGCACTGACTGTCCGCCAGATGGCAGCAGCGCAGCCGCTGTAACCTGTGAGGCGGCCCTCTTCGAAGTAATTCAGCGGTAAGTCATTTAAGGAGGCGCAGCAGAGTCTGCACGGCAAAGGCGCCGCGAAGACCCTTCAGTGCAGAAACAGAAGTTGCCATAAAGTTCTGAGCAGCACTGACGCTGACTTTAAAAACAGATGCAAGTCAGCGGAATTATCTTCCCCCATTCTATTTAAGTTCTATGCATGTGAACTGCAGGGATCCCTCAACCACAGCTGCTGCAGTAAGTCACCTTGATGGCGGTGTATCACCCAATCCAGAGACAGCGCCTCCGGCCACTCCTCAGCCCACCTTTAGCGGGCGGCATCCGCCTCTAAGGGAGGCTGCGGCCCGCGTTCAGGGCTTTAAGGCGGAAATTGGGGGTCTGTATGGGCTTTTCTAAAAATTCCAGGGGGTTTTAGGAAGAATAAAGCATAGCATAGCAAATGAAATCCGAGTATCTGCGATTCCTGCACTTGAGACACCGTGGCTCTGTCTCTTGCAGCTGAAAGTGAAGAGCTGGCGGGCTAGAGTGTCCTTCCCGGGGCACCGGCAGCACATCCCCTGCTGCCTGGCTGGCCACCGGCTCCCCCGCGGCAGGCCGGACGCTGCGCAGCCTCGCCCGCGCAGGAGCCCTGGCTGTGAGGGCTCCGCGCCCTGTCCTTCCTGTGACTTACTGCCACCCTCGGGACCTCGGGCAGGCTCCAAGCTCCCCGTCCAGGCCCCAGCTCTGCCCCTCCAGAGCAGCAGTGCACACAGCGCGGAGCCGCCCCGGCTCTTCCCTTCTCAGCCGGCGCTGCCGCAGGGCTGGCAGGGCTGGTTTTCCGGCCTGCAGAATGGGAGTCCTGCTAGAGTCACATCTCATGCATTCATCTGCCTTGCCAGATAACCCGTATGAACCAATCAAAGAGAGAACTTCAGGTGTAAAAGGAAGACAGGAGGAACCAGGACAGTTAACAAGGTTCTTTGGTGGCTACATGGAGGTGTGAGGAGCCTCTCAGGCCACCTCACTTGAGCAGGCAGTCACCCTGCTCTAGCCCGATCTGACACTGCTTGAATCACACATCCATGTCTCTGTCCAGAACCACCTTTGGTGCAACTAGTAGAGACATGTCTCTCTGCAGCACTCTACGGGCAGTTTCGGTTCCATGCTAAACATACAATGCCCATAACTAAAGGATTCGTTCTTTCTGACATCTCCTTTATGAGATATTTAAAGGTATTCCATCAGTTCACTATATCTGATTTACAGACAGAGACTTATTTGAAGAATTCTAGTAAATCACATGAGAATGTTCACTTCCATTTTCTAGGACATTTCCTTTATGGTGATAATGTTTGAAAAATATGAAGAAAAGCATACTTTAAAAAATAAAGCGATATTTTTAACTGTGTCTAGACACACAAAAATCCTAGGCGTGCAAAGACCCAGAAAGGTGGAAAATTACTGTTGTGTGAAGCATTCGACTTTAGATATCTTTTCAAAGAGGTTAATTTAACCTGTGAAACACCACACCACCTTACACAGTCAATCCTAAAATGATACAGCGTCTAACAACTATTCATCCTACTCCATAAATAAGCCAAGACCTCTCATAAATCTCGATGCAGCAATGTAAGTTTGTACTGAACTATGCCTGCCAAGAAATGAAACTGGTTCTGATAAAGAGCTCCAAAATATTCTTGAAATCCATAGATTGGGGAGGAATAGGAGGTCTTAAAGCATCACATACCTACGTCCTACTCCAGAAACAAGGAATTGTCAATACACACCAGACATTAAGTCAAAGATTGTTTATCACCAAAGTCTTAAAAAAAACCAGGATCCTTCCAACCCTTACTTAGATCCCCAAATAAAAGTGTCCTTCTTAGTTGACCTGAAAAACAGATATAGAAGCCTTTTCTCTATAGTTTTTAAATGAACCACACAGAAAAAGGCTTAACATAGAAAATATATAAGAATGCTAGAATTAAGAGGGACTTCTATTTTCTTCTTTCAACTTCTCTGTATTTTGATAAATTATTTTTCCATGTATATTTATTACTTTTAGAATCCAAATAAAATTCCAAAAAGCAAAGCTATAACATAATTTTTTTTTTTACTTGAAGCAATATATATTAAAACAAATACAGAGATATTTTGGCCTTATTGGACACGGCCACCACTTTAACCTCCCACCTGATATATGCTGATACTCATCAGTTTTGCACCCTGATAACGGCCAGTATGTCTGTTTATAGAACTTGACGATTGTAGTAATACTTAGAGAATGGGCTTCGCAGGTGGCACTAGTGGTAAAGAATCCACCTGCTGATGCAGGAAATGTAAGAGATGTGAGTTTGATCTCTGGGTCAAGAAGATCCCCTGGAGGAGGGCATGGCAACCCACTCCAGCATTCTTGCCTAGAGAATCCCATGGACAGAGGAGCCTGGTGGGCTACAGTCCCTGTGATCACAAACAGTCAGGCATGACTGAAGTGACTTAGCGGGCTTGCACTTGGAGGACACGGGCATGTTTTTTGTCCCTCCCATCCACCAAATCCCTTACATATATATTCATCTCATTTAACCCTCATAACCACTTGCTAGGGTCCCATTTGCATGCCCAGGAAACTAAGGTCTGGAAGGCAGCATGCTCAAGGTAAAGTAGCTAGTGTTTGGGAACCACTCTGAGGTTACATTTGTCTAACTCCAAAGTCAAGTTCTTCCTTTTCCTCTGTTCTCCTGCCAAACGCACCCTTAGAATCAATGGAGCAAGAATCTGCTCTGGGATTTTCTAGTGCTGAAACACTTCTCCAATATCAACAAGAAGGCATTTGTAACCCCCTCCTCTTCTTTACCTGCAGGGTCGTGGCAAGGGGACCCTCCTGGGTAACAAGTCCTCCCGTACATCTCTCAGACGGAGAGGAATGAAGCTGTCCCTGCCGCACAGATAACAGGAGGACCTCCCCACAGAATTATTTTATAACAAAAATACAAAACTATGACTCTGAGAAGTTTCATTTGTGATTGTCTATACATCTGTCAATGTGAAGAGGGAGTTTTAAAAGGAAATTCTAATAAGCTATCTGATCAAATTCATTCACTATATTACCTTACCTATAATTCTGGGTAAAGCTGTTGCCTTCTCCAATCCATAATTAATTGAGTTGTGGTCAAGATTAAAGATCCCCTGCCACACACTTTAAAAATGACTTATAATTGACTTTCATAAATTCAACTTTCAAAAAGCACTTATTGGGGATCTATAGCATTTAGACCCTAACCAGAATAGCCAATGAACAAATATTTGAGCAACCACGTTATCTTGCCCTTTACACGTCTTCAAGTTGCTTTATGAATACGGGTTCTCTCTGAGGATGGAGGGATAAAAAAGGGGAGAGGAGCAGGGAAGTAATTCAGCAATTTCTGTAATGTTTACTTCTTTACCAAGAGTAATTTAGCAATTTCTGTCAGGTTCACTTCATTATACTTTTGCATCATTTATATAATCATCATATATATAATAATGATGGCAAAAGTATAAAATTTAGACAGTGAACATAATGTTTTCCAGATTACTTCTAATATTTTTAGTATATTCAAAATAATTTGTAATATAAACGTTTTTAATTTAACAACTTACAATGGGGCTTCAAAAGCATAGTTTTTTACATCAAGGTTCTGTGGCCAGATACCCTAATTCCTCCCAGGTTCCAAGTGCAAATGTAAGCCGATTTCTTCCATCATTTACATCAAACACACGATAGAGTTGTATTTTAGAAGAAAGAACTGGATTCAAAGGTCAGCTCTGTGAACTTACTAACTGCTCCCTTGTGCAAAAGTGAAAGTGTTAGTCGCTCAGTCGTGCCAGACTCTTTGCGACTCCTTGGACTATAGCCCGCCTGGCTCCTTTGTTCAAGGAATTCTGAAGGCAATCATGCTGGAGTGGGTAGTCAGTCTCTTCTCCAGGGGATCTTTCCAACCCAGGGATTAACACCAGATCTCCTGCACTGCATGCGGGCTCCTTACCTTCTGAGACACCTGCCAAGTTATTTGCTAAACAAGGAATTTGCCTCCCCTTCCATCCGTACAATGGGAATTCTTAGTTGTAAAAGGTATATGAGTAGCATGGAATTCACCTGTCATAAAGAGGGCAATTAGCGTTAATATTGCCACCCTACTCCCCTCCCAACTAGAAGATGGTGGGGCGAAGGGGTGGGGGGCACATTCTATCCACCAGAACCCAAAGAGGAAACCAGCTGCTCCTCCAGATAAGAGCTGAGACATCAAACCAGCAGAGTGTCTCTGGACAGGCAAAGAACCATGAGGCTCCTCCTGCCCGTGGGTTTGATCGCCACCGCCCTGGCCGCTGCCCCCGTCCGCTTCGATGGGTAAACCTCACGGCCCTGTGTTCCAGACTGTGCCTGGGAAGACAATGAGGAAAGACTTCCTTCCAGCTCACGTGCTTCAGCTTTTGTGTTCTTACAGGGACAAGGTCCTCCGTGTGAAGCTGCAGGATGGAAAACAAGCAAACGTCATCAAGGACTTAGCCAAGACCAGCCAGGTAGAGCACATAAAGGGCTATCTTTCTTTTCTATTTCTTAAAAGCTGCTTCTTCTGCCTTACATTCTTAACAGTCGCAGAGCTACCAAAGATTGGGGGAAAAGGTGATGATTGGATAATTCAACTCACTGCTAATCCTTTCATTGTTTCTGTTCATTTTTCTCCAAATTACCACTTCTTTTTCCCATCTAAAAACTTTGCAAACAACAGCATTTTCTAGGTAGAACTGTGAAATAGGGAGACATTCCTGGCCTTTATCATGGCCTCTTCTTCAACCCTGATAGGGCCTGCCTACCTCATTCTCCTCACTGCCACCTGGATCTATACCAGGGGCCTCACTTCTGTGGCATAATCATGATTATGATCACACCGAGGTGCTGCTTAGCTGATAACATCAATGCACTGTCTGATAATACCATGAGGTGTCCCTTTCTAAGAGCAGGTCCATTTTGAAAGAAAACTCTGAAAAGTTAGCTCTTTTAAAACCCCATGGACTAAAGTCATCATTTTATCATTTGTTCAGCGGCTTCTCTGTGCAAGACACCCTGTTCCAGCCCCTTCTTGTTATTCACTCACTCAGCCGTGTCCAGCTCTTTGCGACTCCACGACTGCAGCACAATAGGACTACTTGTCCTTCACTGTCCCCCAGAGTTTGCTCACAAACATCACTTCAAATTCATTAGATTTTCAAGGTCTGTGTCCCAATTCAACGTGTTTAAAACAGAAGAATTGATGTTCAAAGACGGTAAATTAAATGACCAAGATTTCATGTCAAACTTAAACCCAGAATGGAATCTGAGATTTAGTCTAGTCAGATACTCCCTTATTTCCACATCAAATCAAGCTGCCTATACTAATTCCCAGATGTCTCTCAAATCCATACTTTCCTCTTCATTCCCCTGTCACTGCCAAATTTATGTCTGCTCTATCTTTTTCAGGGACAGCTTCAGTAGACAATTACAACTTCCCTTCTGTCCAGGGTTCTAGTCTTGCCTCCCATGAAGTCAAGTCCATACTGCAACCTGATTGCTCTACAATGAGACACCTCTGCTTGAAGGTTTTCAGTGAGAGGTGGCCTAGTGTGGAAACAGCACAGTCTTCAGAGGTTCAGATCCTAGTTTCACACTAGCTCAGTGTCCTTAGGCAAGTTACTTAGCCTCTCCGGGCTTCAATTTCCTCCTCTGTAAAGTGGGGACATAATAATCATACCTACTTCCTAAAGCTGCTATAAAGACTAAATGAGCTAATATTTGGGTAATGCTCAGCTGGCCTGGTCATAATAAGTACTGTAGAAGCATCTTCTATTGATATCGATGTGGTATTCCAAGAACTTCATAATCTCCAACCTATGTACCCGACCCTCTTTCTTACCCTTCAAGCACTATTAACAGCACTCACTCACCGCACTGGCCCTACACACCTTTTCTCGGGAGGAATGTATTTTCCTCTTTACTTGGCTAAATGCTACTTATTCTCCAAGACCCAGCTCAGGCAGTCTCTCCTGGAGAAAGTCCCTCTCTGTTCACCAACTCTCATGACCCAGATGGGTCGCTTCTTGTGCTCCTAGAAGAAACCTTGTGATTTGCCCCTGGCATGGATAAGCGTGTCGGAAATGCACAGATGGCTCTGTTCTTCCACATTAAGCTGTTTGCTTCTCTCTTATGAACCTCCGCCACCCTGGCATCTATCTCTGCACCTGCTGCTTAGCTCATGAAGTCCACTGAGCCCTAACTTTCGCATGGTGCTCCCCTTGTGGCTCAGCTGTAAAGAATCCACCTGCCAATGCAGGAGACTCATTTTTGATTCCTGGGTCAGGAAGATGCCCTGAAGGAGGGCATGGCAACCCACTTCAGTATTCTTGCCTGGAGAATCGCTTGGACAGAGGAGCCTGGCAGGCTAGGGTCCATGGGGTTGCAAAAGAGTCAGACATGACTTAGCAACTAAAAAAAACAACAAATTCACGCACCACGTAACCCTATTAGGATAGAGAGATTGCCACTGTGATGGCCTAACTCACCTTTAAATCATTCTTATACCTCACAGATGTCTAATTTATACTGTAGCATTTTGATCAAAACAAACCAACAAATATTGGTTGGTTCACAGCCGCCTTACACTGGAACAGGACTGACCTAAAAGTAGAGTGGGATTCATCTAAAGAACAGCCAGGCAGACTCAGCTATGCCCACAAGCTTGGCACGATGGGTGGAAAGTGAGCATTTTCTCCACATTCCTGAGGTTGGGAAATGATACTTCATTTGGTTTCATGATTGAGTATGATTTTCAAGAATAAGAACTGGGAACTTCTCAAATTATTTTAATCTGAATTCTATCTTTACAGTCCTGTTCACCAAATTTCTGAAATTCTCAGCGAGCAGAAGATAAAGAGAAGGGAACCAGGAGTTGCTAAATACTGCATGGCCCAGATGTCATGGCTGTTTCATAACCTCCGTAACACTCCCAATGGAGGGCTGTTAGCCCCACTTCTTAGGAGGAGGACTGAAATGCAAAGAGTTTTAGTAATCAGCCCAAGGACATACTGCTGGGAAAATGACAGGGCTAGAGAATATGCCTTCACTGGACAGTCTTTCCAGGAATTCCAGAGTTTACAGGGACATCTGGTTCTGAGGGAGGCCTGACCCAAGAGCAGGTGCAGGGGAGGGAGAAGCCACATAAGAATACATATTCCCAACCAGAGGCAGATGCTGTGGCTAAATCAGTTGTGAAACAACTCCAACTGGTGGTAGAAGAAAACAGATTAACCAAAAGCTGATCATTCTTTTTGCATTTGAATATATTATGTCCAAAAAAATATGATCTATTTTTCCCCACTGCCTAATATTCAACAGTTTTTAAATATATTTGCAAAAATCTCATAGGTTTATTAAGAGAAGAGTTCATACTTCAGACATGTTGAACCCCAAATTCCTTCAATTGCATATGACACATGGTCATTTATTAATAAATATGTGTTGCATGAGCAAATAAACAACTGTGACTAACACTGAACTCATCTGCGCAGCTTGACTTCTGGTATCCAGACGCCACCCACCAGGTCGCTGCTGACATGACGGTGGATTTCCGAATCAATGCAAAGGAATCCCAGCTGGTTGAGTCTGCGCTGGATCAAAATCAAATGCACTATGAGTAAGTCCTAGGAAAATATTCAAATGTGTTAGATACTCAAAGTCTGAGGAGTCTTGAAATTGAAAGGAGAGTATAATTTTATATTGGGCCCCTCAAAATGAAAGCTCTATCTAAGAAATAACACTTACAGTTGCCTCCAAACAGAGTATGGAAGCCTGCTTATAAAAATGATGAGCTCAACCTTGGCACTCAAGTTCTATCTTATGTTTATTATGATCTGCAAGAATGACAGTTATGGTATCTGCCATCCCTAAAACTCAACCCCTGGTAAGGACAAAGAGCACGTGAGCAGGCATGGAAGGTCTGGGCACACTCGTTACTCCTGACAGGTAAACAGCCCGGAACTCAGCGCTGCTGATGACTACCAGCATTGCATTCTTTTTGCATGATTTAAGCTTTTTATTTTATACTGGAGGATAGCCAAGTAACAATGTTGTGATAGTTTCAGGTGCACAACCATATACATACGTGCATCCATCCCCCCTCAAATCCCCCTCCTATCCAGGCTGCCACATGACACTGAGCAGAGTTCCTTGTGCCCGCACCAGATTCTTGTATTCGAATTCTCCTGATACATAAAAGGAGACCCAAAGTACAATGTTTATCTTTGAGTCAGAGGTGTGGGAATGTAAAATATATAATAAATAATTCTTTATGAAAGAAATTCTTCCTCAGAGAAAGCAAAACAACACAGTAAAATAAGGCTTAAATCTAAGAGGAGAGAATTCTCAAATGGCCTAAGATGCAGAAATGAGTCGTCGTGGTCCCATAGAGAAATAACAGGAAATGAGAAATTATCGAGCACTAGCCATGGGCCATACACACACAGTCTGGGCCCTAGGGCAACAAATAAGAAGGGAGCTCAGAGATGAATATCGCAAAGGGAAAACAAAGTGTGATTTTATACTTTAAAATATTTAGCAGTGTGATGTGCTGAGGGGTCCTGTCTGAACTTCCCCAGCCCTTGTCTTCCCAGCAGCCCCTTTACAGAGACCCCATCACTCAAAATTGCTACGCATCAGTTCTTTCTGTTTGATTTAATAGTTCATGCTTCTGCTACCTAACTCAGTGCTGTTAACTCAAAAAACCTTCTACTTCTGGTTCAAAGATCCTACAGTGTCATATTAGAGAGCAGGATATATTGCTTCTCATCATGACTTGATTATGTTTATTAAATTGCTATAATATCTCTAACAAATTTAAATACTATTGAAGGAAATACATAGACAAGTAAACAAAAAACATTCTTGCCTATGGCTTAGAGTCACAGGTTATTATGTGTGATTACTGCTGGTCACTATCTTTGTTTTTGCCATTGTTTCAAGAAGGCTGTGAAACAAACGTGTAAGTTCATATATGGTGAGAACACATTCAAAAGTAATCTATTCTTGTTGTTTAATCACTGCCATATCTGACTCTTTTGCAACTCCATTGACTATAGCTTGCCAGGCTCCACTGTCCATGGGATTTTTCAGGCAAGAATACTGAAGTGGGTTGCCATTTCCTTTTCCAGGGGATCTTTTGGACCCAGGGACTGAACCCATGTCTCCTTCATTGGCAGGCAGATTCTTTCCCACTGAACCACCAGGGAAGTTAATATATGGGGAGAACATATTCAAAATTATGAATCTAAACATTTTTAATTAATACATTGATAGATTTTTCTATAATTTTATAAACTGTACCATTAAAATCAGAAGCAGACACTTTATAAACATACATGTAAGATCACAGAAATTAGTAGGACATTATGGACTATGGGCTTATGCTGAGGTTGATATGCTATCTTGAATATTTCTAAAAGAAATCACCCCTCCACGCTATATACTTCCTGGTGACCATCTCTTGAATCACTTGATAGCCAGACTTCTAAAATATGTGACTCGATTTATACAATCTTCACTCTACTTCATTAATACAAACCTGACCCAGATTCCTTATGATCAACTAATTCTCACAAAGTGTCTAGCCCAAGTTAAAATAAATTTTAGCTAACTTTTTATAATTTGATTTGAACAGCAGGTTAAAAATAAAGTAGTGCATTTTCCTCAATACCCTGATACTGTAGACAAGACGCTGACGGCTTGACAGTGAGCGTAGCTAGTGGAATAGATCACGGTGACAGGAGACTCCAAGGCAGGAGGCTGCCAGCCATCCATTTCATCAGCCCTGATTCCTCTCTGGCCTTCTCCAAGCTCGGAACAAGTCTGACTCAAACAGAGGTCTAAACCCAGATCCTCACAAATAGTGTGCTTTTCATTTTGTCTTATGCCAAGTACTTTCTTTCTATTTACATCAAGAAGCAAAGTGTTGAACTACCTATAAAAATTAGTTTTATCTAATTAGGACATGATTTCTAGAAATTGGTCCAAATTAGCCATAGTTGTGGGAAAGCCACATAATTAGATAGTTACCTTCCTCGAAAATACAAATATGTAAAGTGATCTGTGCAGACAAGAACTATTTAAAATCTTGTCTCCAAGCATTAATTATATAGATAATTTTATTTGCATATTAATTACATGTGTTACTTGGTGTCAGTCAGTAACAGAAGTGGGTTCGAAGCACAGAAACATCTGGTTGGACCAGACACCAGTTTGAATAAAACCACATTAAGAGGCTGGTTTGACACAATGATTTACTTAGACACCCTTCATTAGACAGTGCATATAAACCACTATTTAGTTTAAAGCATCTGTGTGATATTTTTTTTAATTTCCAGAAAATTAAATTGCCAAGACAGATTTTACTTTAAAGTAGCATGTTTGCTCCCTTTCCCACAGAAAAAGAGCAACAGTATAGCTAGAGACTATCACCAGTGGTACACACATCATCAGGGGCGCCGTTTCCCTCCTACTGAATAAAAATTAGTGCCTTAAAGTTTATCACCTAACATAGAAATATGCCTCAAATGTTGGGGGAAATCCATGTCCATAAGTGCCAAGCAGGATACAAGGTAATTCAATTAGGGAGCTCCGGGAGAGGATTGAGATCGTGCAGAAACCTGGAGTCACACTTTTGGAGTAGACCCGACCCTGCAGGAATGTGGGTGTCAGGGAGAGGGAGTCCAAACCAATTTATCAGGCCACATAACATGACTCTGCCTCCCTAAGACATCCTTCCCCACTGCACTTACACACACACACACTCACTCCAAAACTCACGCGCGCGCGCACACACACACACACACTCCAAAACTCACGGTAACACATACACTGGCCCACAGTTCTCCATTCCTTCTTTTTTTTAAACTGAAGTACATTTGAGTACAATGTTAGTTTCAGGTGTATAGTATAGCGTTTCCATATTTTCATAGATTATACTCCTTTAAAATTTATACCAATGGCTGATTCATGTTGTGGTTTCACAGAAAACAAAATTCTGTAAAGCAATGATCCTTCAACTAAAAAATAAATTAATTTTAAAAAACTTATTACAAAATAATGGTTATAATTCCCTGTTTTATACAGTATATTCTGACCTATTCTTATAAAAGTAGTTTGTATCTCTTAATCCCATACCCCATCTTTTCCCTCTCCCCACTACTTTGCTTTCTAAATCTGTGAATCTCTTTCTATTTCGTGATGTACACGTTCATTTGTTTTATTTTTTAGATTCCATAAATAAGTGATATCATACAGCATTTGTCTTTTTCTGGTTGACTTATTTCATGAAGCATATTATTATCTAGGCCCATCCACATTGCTGCAAAGGATAATCTCATTCTTTTTAAGGCTGAGTAATACTCCAACGTATATGTGTATCACGTCTTCTTTACCCATTTGTCTATTGATGAACACTTGGTTTGCTTCTATATCCTGGGTGTATCTCTTCAAATTAGTGGGTTTTTTCTGGATATACACCCAGGAGTGGAACTGCTGAATCACATGGTGGTTCTGTTTTCAGTTTTGGGGGAAGCTCCATACTGTTTTCCATAGTGTCTGTACCAATTTACACTGCTACCAGCAATGGGAATGGACTCTCTGGACTCTCTGTTATGCTCCATTGATCTCTGTGTCTTTTTTTGTACCAGTATTCTACTGTTCTGATGACCTAGCGTTGTAGTATAGTCTGAAGTCAGAGAGAGTGATATCTCCAGCTAACCAAATCCAACAATATATAAAAAGGGTCATACATTGCAATTAAATGGGATTTATTCCAGGGTGGCAAAGATGGTTCAATATCTGCAAATTACTCAATGTGATATACCACATTGACAAAAGGAAAGATAAAAAAAATCATTTGATCATCTCAATAGAGATGACTAGGTACCTGCGGTCACCTAATCTATGACAAAGGACACAAGAATATACAGTGGAGAAAAGACAGTTTCCTCAGTAAGTAGTGCTACAAAAACTGATCTGCTACATGGGAAAGAATGAAATGAGAACATCCCCTAATACCATACGCAAAAAGTAACTCAAAATGGATTGAAGACCTAAATGTAAGGCCAGACACTCTAAAACTTTTAGAGGAAAACAGAGAGAGAACACTCTTTGACATAAACTGCAACAAAATCTTTTTTGACTCACTTCCTAAAGTAATGAAAATAAAAACAAAAGTCAATAAATGAGATCTAAAACAACTTAAAAGCTTTTGCACAGCAAAGGAAACCATAAACAAAACAAAAAGACAACCCTCAGAATGTGGTGAAATATTTACAAACAAAGCAACCAGCAAGGAATTGATATTCAAAACATGCACACTGAGTTCAGGCGGCTCAGTGTCAGAAAGCAAATAACCCGGTCCAAAGCACGGGCAGAAGATCTAAACAGATGTCACCAAAGAAGACATAGTCAGTTCAGTCGCCCAGCCGTGTCAGACTCTTTGTGACCCCATGAATCGCAGCACGCCAGGCCTCCCTGTCCATCACTGACTCCCGGAGTTCACGCAAACTCATGCCCATTGAGCCGGTGATGCCATCCAGCCATCTCATCCTCTGCCGTCCCCTTCTCCTCCTGCCCCCAATCCCTCCCAGCATCAGGGTCTTTTCCATGAGTCAACTCTTCGCATGAGGTGGCCCAAGTGTTGGAGTTTCAGCTTCAGCATCATTCCATCCATGAACACCCAGGAATCATCTCCTTCAGGATGGACTTGTTGGATCTCCTTGCAGTCTAAGGGACTCTCAAGAATCTTCTCCAACAACACAGTTCAAAAGCATCAATTATTCCGCCCTCAGCTTTCTTCACAGTCCAACTCTCACATCCATACATGACCACTGGAAAAACCATAGCCTTGACCAGACGGACCTTTGTTGGCAAAGTAATGTCTCTGCTTTTTAATATGCTATCTAGGTTGGTCATAACTTTCCTTCCAAGGAGTAAGTGTCTTTTAATTTCATGGCTGCAGTCACCATCTGCAGTGATTTTGGAGCCCAAAATAATAAATTCTGACACTGTTTCCACTGTCTCCCCATCTGTTTCCCATGAGGTGATGGGACCAGATGCCATGATCTTAGTTTTCTGAATGTGGAGCTTTAAGCCAACTTTTTCACTCTCTTCTTTCACTTTCATCAAGAGGCTTTTTAGTTCCTCTTCACTTTCTGCCACAAGGGTGGTGTCATCTGCATATCTGAGGTTATTGATATTTCTCCCGGCATTCTTGATTCCAGCTTGTTCTTCTTCCAGCCCAGCGTTTCTCATGATGTACTCTGCATAGAAGTTAAATAAGCAGGGTGACAATATGCAGCCTTGAAGTACTCCTTTTCCTATTTGGAACCAGTCTCTTGTTCCATGTCCAGTTCTAACTGTTGCTTCCTGACCTGCATACAGGTTTCTCAAAAGGCAGGTCAGGTGGTCTGGTATTCCCATCTCTTTCAATTTTCCACAGTTTATTGTGATCCACACAGTCGAAGGCTTTGGTGTAGTCAATAAAGCAGAAATAGATGTTTTTCTGGAACTCTCTTGCTTTTTCGATGATCCAGTGGATACTGGCAATTTGATCTCTGGTTCCTCTGCCTTTTCTAAAACCAGCTTGAACATCTGGAAGTTCTCGGTTTACGTATTGCTGAAGCCTGGCTTGGAGAATTTTGAGCATTACTTTACTAGTGTGTGAGATGAGTGCAATTATGCGGTAGTTTGAGCATTCTTTGGGATTGCCTTTCTTAGGGACTGGAATGAAAACTGACCTTTTCCAGTCCTGTGGCCACTGCTGAGTTTTCCAAATGTGCTGGCATATTGAGTGCAGCACTTTCACAGCATCATCTTTTAGGATTTGAAATAGCTCAGCTGGAATTCCATCACCTCCACTAGCTTTGTTTGTAGTGATGCTTCCTAAGGCCCACTTGACTTTACATTCCAGAATGTCTGGCTCTAGGTGAGTGATCACACCATTGTGATTATCTGGGTCATGAAGATCTTTTTTGTACAGTTCTTCTGTGTATTCTTGCCACCTCTTCTTAATATCTTCTGCTTCTATTAGGTCCATACCATTTCTGTCCTTTATCGAACCCATCTTTGCATGAAATGTTCCCTTGGTATCTCTAATTTTCTTGAAGAGATATCTAGTTTTTCCCATTCTGTTGTTTTCCTCTATTTCTTTGCATTGATTGCTGAGGAAGCCTTTCTTATCTCTCCTTGCTATTCTGTGGAACTCTGCATTCAAATGGGAATATCTGTTCTTTTCTCCTTTGCTTTTCACTTCTCTTCTTTTCACAGCTATTTGTGAAGTCTCTTGATGAAAGTGAAAGAAGAGAGTGAAAAATTTGGCTTAAAGCTCCACATTCAGAAAATTAAGATCATAGCATCTGGTCCCATCACTTCATGGGAAATAGATGGGGAAACAGTGGAAACAGTGTCAGACTTTATTTTTGTGGGCTCCAAAATCACTGCAGATGGTGACTGCAGCCATGAAATTAAAAGACACTTACTCCTTGGAAGGAAAGTTATGACCAACCTAGATAGCATATTAAAAAGCAGAGACATTACCTTGCCAACAAAGGTCCGTCTGGTCAAGGCTATGGTTTTTCCAGTGGTCATGTATGGATGTGAGAGTTGGACTGTGAAGAAAGCTGAGGGCGGAAAAATTGATGCTTTTGAACTGTGTTGTTGGAGAAGATTCTTGACAGTCCCTTGGACTGCAAGGAGATCCAACCAGTCCATCCTAAAGGAGATCAGTCCTGGGTGTTCATTGGAAGGACTGATGCTGAAGTTGAAACTCCAGTACTTTGGTCACCTCATGCAATGAGTTGACTCATTGGAAAAGGCCCTGATTCTGGGAGAGATTGGGGGCAGGAAGAGAAGGGGACGACCAAGGATGAGATGGCTGGACGGCATCACTGACTCGATGGACATGAGTTTGAGTGAAATCCGGGAGTCAGTGATGGACAGGGAGGCCTGGCATGCTGTGATTCATGGCGTCGCAAATAGTTGGACACAACTGAGCGACTGAACTGAACTGAACTGAAACTTAACCATGGTGGTGAAAGACCTATTCTCCGAAAACTATAAAATACTAATAAAGGAAACTGAAGATGATACAGATCCCATGTCCTTGGATTGGAAGAACTAATATTATTAAGATGCCCATACTACTCAGAGCAATCTACAGATTTAATGCAATCCCTTTCAAAATACCCAGGACATTTTTCACAGAACTAGAACAAATAATCCTAAAATTTTTATGCACCCACACACACACAAAAAAAACCATATACACACATACACACACACAAATTGTCAAAGCAATGTCCATTCCTACTAAAAGCAGCAGATGGAAGGAGCCTTGAATTTGTTAAAATAAGATTCATTTTGCCTCTTCTCTGAACTAACCTGCTCCCTGATCTTGAGACTCAGGCTTTCTGGAGAGCTGATCAGCTGAGCAAACTTCGTACAAGCCTCGGTAGACTAAGAAGAGTTTAGATCTGACAGCAATACCCAGGGCTTTCCCTCCTTATGATGGATGACTGTCGTATAACGGTTCACAGCTAGAGTGCTGAAGTCAGACATCTCTAGGCTCAAATTTCAACTTCTGTATTTTAGCTATATCAATGTTGGAAATCTACCTAACATCGATGAAAATGGGAGCTATAATGGTACCAAATTAATAGTGTTGATGTAAAGATTAAGTGATAAAATGTAAATATCATGCTGAACAGAATGTCTGGTGCATAAGAAAGACTCAATAAACATTGGCCATTTACCTCATTAAATCCTCAGGGGTGATTATTTATCCTTTCACCTATATTTAGGAATATTTTTAACAAATTAAGGAAATCTTGGAGCACTAAAATAATATTTAAGAGAAAGTATTTTGGTTTCATCTACTTAAACCTGGCTGCTGGTTAGTGGAAGGCCTCAGGAAAATAACATCTGGACATGGATCTTAATTTCCAGCCTTAGGCTTAATTTCTAGTTCCCATCAGCAGCAATCTGGCACCATCCTGAAGTCCTCATGCAGCTGCATATGTGGGAAGGTCGTATTTCAGCTCACACGATTTTCTTTTGCCGCTGTTATCACAAGAACCAAATTGATATGTGTAAGTCTAAAAATATTCTTAGATACGAGCTTCCTGTGACTAATTAATACTGCCATATGTTACCAATCAACCTGAGACCATAAAAATCTCTCTTTTGCCTGGTTCCTCTGCTTTTAATGCAGGTGGAGCAAAAGCCACAAGCCCTCTTTAGAGTTTAAGACAATTAAATATGGCTGCAGGGACAACCCAAAATATAATCTCCAAACTTCTCAGACTTCATGTGAGTTTTAGTGCACAACAGGCGGCCCTTGATTCCAAATCTGTTGTCAAATTTTTCTTTCTCAAAAATCCCAGATTCATCCTAAGTCAAAAGCCAAGCATACAGTGAGTTAACTATAATATGCATAATAAACTGCTTGTCAGTGATGTTAATGAGAACCAATATTCATGAGCAGTACATGGTCTCATGTCCTAAATAAACTCTAATTAGGAGTATACCTCACTTCTGTCCTTCCTCTAAACTCAGATCAGTCCATCAGCAAGAAAAGCACAGCTCTAGATAAATGGGAAGATAGGAAGCCAGACACACGACATATCTAAAAGGCACGGTTGGAGAATCATGAAGAGACATGATAAACTTGATCAAAGACAGAGATGAAGGAAGAGAAAATTTCTGCAAATGAAAGATAACTGTTTTTCTTTCCCCCGTTAAGTGTGTATTTTATCATTTCCCCTGTCAAACAGAATCTTGATTCACGATGTACAAGAAGAGGTTGAAAAACAGTTTGATGTTAAAGAAGATAACCCAGGCAGGCACAGCTATGCAAAATACAATAACTGGAACAAGGTATCATATAAAATGCCTGTACTTCCAAATAGAAAAATGTTACCCTCAACATTTGTTGGCACTTAGTTATCTATTATTCTAATCTCTCAAAATTGGTTTTGTTCCTAAGATTGCTGCTTGGACTGAAAAAATGGTGCGTAAGCATCCTAAAATGGTCTCTCGCATCAAAATTGGAACTACTGTTGAAGATAATCCACTATATGTTCTCAAGGTAAAAGTGATTTAAGAATTGCTGATTCTATTGTCCAAAAACATGAATTTAAGAGTTACTCTGTGATACAACTAGCTAGTTTTTATGTATTTATTGTTCATTTTTGGCTGTGCTGGGGCTTCATTGCTGCTCGGGCTGTTTCTCCAGTTGGGGTGAGCAGGGGCTGTGGCAGGCTTTTCGCTGCAGTGGCTCCCCTTGCTGCGGAGCGCAGGCTCCAGGGCACATGGGCTCCTGTGTCTGGGGGCTCGAGAGCGCAGGCCCAGTAGTTGAGGCACAGAGGCTTACTTGCCCCTTGGCACACGGGATCTCCCCAGACCAGGGATCGAACCCGTGTCTCCTGCCCTGGCAGGCAGATTATTATCTACTGTGCCACCAGGGAAGGCCGTAGCTAATTTTTAGACAATGAAAAGAACATGTAAGCTTTAGACAACCACTCAAGAACAGAAGTGACAGATGGTTTTAGGTGGGACCAAGAAAGTCTACAAATAAACCACTTGACGGACACCGTGGACAAAACCAGACAAGCTTCTTATCCTGTATCTTTATTACAAGAGCATACGATGTCCCTGGTGCATAAAACAGCTTTTCATCCATTAAAATTCAGGGGAATGTACGGCTAAATGTCAAGAAGAAAAGAAATTTAAGAATCGCGTAATTGTAGGAGTCCAGTGCAGTCAGTGAGGCGTTCTAACTGGGTTGAGAGGGATTCCGTCCACGACTGAGTCGACAACTGCCGTTCAGCTGCTGCTGCATTTCTGTACATCCGAAGACACTGCTCCCTAAAGCATCCTCTCAATAACTCAGAAGCCCTTCCCTACTCTGAATTCCTATCCATTCGTGCTCTCCAACCACTCAAAACAAATATAAATTCTCCAAATGACAGCCCTTCAAATATCCAGCCCTATTCCTCCTCCCCACGGCATCACAAAACTACGGAGTCTTTCCCACTTATTGTTTATGAAGTAAGAAAAGCGAAAGAAAATGGCAGAAACAGAAGCAACTTTATAATCTATATCTCAGACCAAAGGATGTCAGCAATACAACAAGAAAAACAGTAGATTGTGATTTTTTTAATTAATTTATTTAATTGGAGGCTACTTTACAGTATTGTGGTGGTTTTTGCCATCCATCGACATGATTTTTTAAAACTCTAAAAGCCACTCTGACATGAAGGAAAATTTTTGAAAAATATACTGTGAAATAGATGATGAATTACGTGTTTTAAAGATCCATACCATGGTCCCCCCTGATTAAAATAAGCGCACACACAGTGACTCACTCAACAGGAGAGAGGTGAAATAATCGCTTTGAGACATGAATGAGTTCTTAGCAACAAGGAATCAGTGTGTGAGTTCATGTAAAATAACACCTCAGATTTATTTTTTAAAAGGTTGGGGGGAAGGATGAAAGAAGAAAGGCTATTTTCATGGACTGTGGTATTCACGCACGCGAATGGATCGCCCCAGCCTTCTGCCAGTGGTTTGTCTATCAGGTAAGTCCGTTGGAACATTCACGCAATTCTTTGACTATCAAGTCTCCAGTGCCTCACTGGATGGTAACACCCCTTCACAAATGGGTGCAGCTCCACGGAACTAGAAGAGCCCACATTTGGTGCTGTCAGGCGAAAAACACTGGATTTTATTCATCACTGAGGTTTTTTATAAAATTGCCACCTTCCTTCAAACTTCTTGAAATCCAGATTATGGCTTATAAAATTTTAAAAAAAAATTGGCTACAATATGGTTTTTCCTATAGTTAAGTACGGAAAATCTGAAACTATCTTTATACTTAAAATCTACAAACTTGGCCTTACTTTGGTGAATTCAAAGCATAGAACAATAGCTCCCACTTAGATATTTAATTGGCTACACACACTTTTGGAAGTTTCATACTTAAATTTCCTTTTCAACTGAAAAAATAACTCACTTTTTAAAAAGTAAATCCAGTTTATGGGCTTCCCAGGTGGCACAGCGATTAAGAATCCACCTGCCAAGCAGGAGATGCAGGTTTGATCCCCGGGTCGGAAAGATTCCCCGGGAGAAGGAAATGGCAATCCACTCCAGTATTCTTGCCTGAAGAATCCCATGGACAGAGGATCCTGGCAGGTTACAGTCCATGGGATAGCAAAAGAGTTGGATACAATCTCATGACTAAACAACAACAAATCCTGTTTATAAGTCCGTTGTTCCTCTCACTCTGTTTCTATTGTATTCCGATTCCCACAATCTTTTAACTCTCTCTTTTCTGCCAACTTTTGCATATAACATGCTACTGGAATACAACATCACAACCACTTTCAGGGTGAGTTTATTTCCACTAGGAATGGATCTGCCAATCGAACTGATTTATCCCTGCAGATGTTTTAGTTCTTCAGCTGAGGGCCGAGAGCTCTGCTTACTTAAGCCATAAAGGAACACACAAGACAGGCCTATAAGAAACATCTTTTCTTGGGACTTCCCTGAGGTCTAGTGACTAAGAGTCTCAGCTCCCAATGCAGGAGGCCCAGGTGCAAATCCTGCTCAGGGAACTAGATCCCACTTACCACAACTAACGATCCCACTTGCTGCAATTAAAACCTGACACAAATAAACAAACTTATTTCTTAATGAAAAGAAACAGCTTGGCTCTAGTGCAGATAAACGTGGAAGAGATTGTCCAAGAATAATGAGAGATTTTAGTTAGTCAAAAAAGGCCAGATAATCAGAGAAATTTCCATCTGACGTGAGAAAAGTTGACTGGTCAATCTAAATATTCTAATTATTTTATTAATAGTGTTTTTTTTTCTTTAATCCTACTTATAATTAATTCGTGAATCCTCTCCAATATTTACATGCTCCTATGCTTACACAGTCAATCTCTGTTTACCTAAAAATGTGAGGGTAAGAGTCTACTTAAATTGTACTGCTAATTTTTCAATTGGCCTCCATTCTTTCTATGAAATGTATCCTGCATTCTACGTTTGGAATGCTACTAATCTTGGTAATTAAATGATCCTTTAAAGAATATCCAGGCTTCCCTTGTGGCTCAGCTGGTAAAGAAGCCGCCTGCAAAATGGGAGGCCTGGGTTCTATCCTTGGGTTGGGAAGATCCCCTGGAGAAGGGAAAGGCTACCCACTCCAGTATTCTGGACTGGAGAATTCCACCGACTGTATAGTCCATGGGGTCACAAAGAGTTGGACATGACTGAGCGACTTTCACTTTAAAGAATATTAAGTCAAATTAATTTCACTAGTCTGAATAAGTGTAATTTCTTCTGTCATCTATATGGATCATTTATCTTTATGCAGTTTAGGTGAAATATGTTTGAAATAATGTGACCTTGGGCAAATGACTTAAGGAGTTGTCATCATTACAGTTATAACCACAGTTCTCCATATGGTAACTAAACTTTATACCAATAGCTTAATTTTTTCCTACTCCTACAGGCAACCAAAACTTATGGTAAAAACAAGATTATGACTAAACTCCTGGACCGGATGAATTTTTATGTTCTTCCTGTATTCAATGTTGATGGATATATTTGGTCATGGACACAGGTACTGATCTGTAGTCTCCTGTTTGAAATTAGATAATATATTATTTACTGACTTTCATGCACATTGGGGCTTCCTAGGTAGCACTAGTCATAAAGAATCCATCTCTTAATGCAGAAGACAGGGCCGATGCAGGTTTGATCCCTGGGTCGGGATGATCCCCTGGAGAAGGGCATGGCAACCCACTCCAGTGTTCTTGCCTGCAGAATCCCACGGACGGAGGAGCCTGCAGAGGCAGGCTATAGTTCACAGGGTCGCAAAGAGAGGGACATGGCTGAAGTGACTTAGCACGCATGCACGTTGATTGTTAGGCATTAAGTTTAAGGCTTAGCTAAAAAAATTAATTCTGATTCAAAAAGTCAATTTAGACTAAAGACAGCATGATTTCCTGGTTACACAGGAGTCCTTGAAATAATATGAAATTTCTGCTCCTGAAGCTAATAATGGAGGAAAATGAAATAAAGCAGTAATTATAAAGGAAGTGTATGTTACACAATATGGTGAAAGTATTTATAGCTAAGAATAAAAGTCACTTAGAGACATTATGAACATACTGACTTCAAAACCAAAGTCACTGTATTCAATCAATTTGGGACAGAATCTGAGGTGAAATAATTATATCAAAAAATCAATAAAAGAGTGACACAGGTATCTGTCTTTTATAAGAATTCTTTATGCCCTGCTGTTGCTAAGATTAATTTTGAGATTTCAGACTCATACTATCACAAAAAGTTCTCTTCTGAAAATTATGCTCCAACAATCACAATTTGACCTATGTTATATATGAATCTGTAAATGGTAAAAGGTGTAATGAAGTTAAAATTCAAACTACAGATAATTTCAGAACATCAGGGATTACTTTTTAATACTCAGAACTAAACAACAGTTTTTAAAACTGTATTTTTTATCAAGGTCTTATAATATTAATATAAAAACAATGTTTCTGAAAATATTACAAGTTATAAGAAAAATGTATATTTTCTTTAATGAGTCTCAGATTAACTAGATAAATTTCAAATAAAGCTATAGACACCTGCAGACAGAATCTGAAATGATCAAACTAAAAAATGTAAACTTGTGTAAACACTTCCTGATATCATTCAATCTTATAGAACCGCATGTGGAGAAAAAACCGTTCCAGGAATCAAAATTCCAAATGCATTGGAACTGACCTCAACAGAAACTTTAATGTCTCATGGAACTGTGAGTAGCAGACAAGATCTCAAGGGAAATAGCTATAAAGAGTGTTTAGACACTGAATTTAGTTAAACTACCTACTTATTTTAGGAAAGATAGGTATTCGCTAAGTGTTAATTTTCTAATCTAAAAAATGAAAGATACATGTCCATCCCAAACTTCATAACTATCCCACCTCCCCAACTTCACCCCCCCAGCAACCATAAGTTCACAGTGCTATATTCAAAATGGATAACCAACAAGGACCTACCGTACAACACAAGGAACTCAGTTCAATGTTCTGTGCTAGCCTGGACAGGAGGGGAGTCTGGAAGAGAATGAATACATGTATATATACATGGTTGAGTACCCTTGCTGCCCACCTGAAATTGTCACAACATTGTTAATCACCAACACAACCGTATACAATTGTATATCCCAATACAAAGTAAACAGTTTAAAAATAATAATAATGTTAAAAGAAAGCTATAACTAAAAATAAATGAAAGATAATCACCACTACTTTAGAAGTATTATGAATGTTTTGTTAAATGGGAGGAAGTAGCGGGTAGGACTGTTTGTAAAACCATCTCTTACTTAATATATCTAGTTTGCCAAAAATCAGGTGCGACCCAGAAATTCAGATCATCTGAACAGAGGTCTCAATTCCCTTCCCTTCCTGGTCTGATAAAATTTGAGAAATACCAGTGGTCAGAGCCAACAAATAGGCAGTTCCTCGAATGTTTAGTGAAAAGAAACATCTGGGGCAAAGAAAGTGGAAAGGTTTCATAGAAAAGCAGAGACCTGCTACACCAGATGATAGACAGCTGCTACACAAACATGATTTTATCATCATATACATTCAAGGAGAAACTAACAATACCCCAATTCATAAATTTCTTCTTTATCTAGTACTGTTGAAAATACCACCTCAGCATCCAATTCTATTCTACCATAATGAGTATGATAAAAGCATATATCCCTAAGTGAAAGCTGCCTGATGAAACAGATGAAAGTAACTCAGACTCAAAGGAGGTAATGTACACCAGCCTCCAACAAGTCAAATCTGAGGCTGAACTGGAACCGACTCCGGGCCCCTGGCTGCTTCTGATGCATTATTCCCATGACCCTTAGGAATGGCAGGAAAATAAACAAGGCTAAGAACAAGAATATTCAAGTGGGCTAAGTCTGTCATACTCTGCGTCCCATGTGCAAAGTACTGCAGGGTGTCCGCAGCACCAGGGACATGGGGAAGCCCTATGGACCTGGAAGCCTGAAATCTTAGAAAGAAAAGAAGTGAATCTGTATCAGGAGAGGGAGAGGCTGTCCTGGGGGCAGGGGGAGAGGGAGACAGGCTTTGATCTCAATCCTCCATGCCCTCTGCAGGTCTCCCTAACACCAGTGATCCCTGCCAGGAGATCTATCGGGGTCCTGCACCAGAGTCCGAGAAAGAGACCAAAGCCGTCCGCGACTTCATTCGAAGCCACCTAAAGTCAATCAAGGCCTACATCACCTTCCAGTCGTACTCCCAGATGCTGCTGTTTCCCTACGGGTATACATCAGAACTGCCAGCGAACCACGAGGACCTGGTAGGTAGGAAAAAGCCTGTGGTTTATGCATTGGTACCACCACTGCCTTTGGGTCTCTTCATCATTAACAACTTGGGTTATTTTGAAAAAATTTCACATTTTAATATCAAAGAAGAAAACTAGTGAAGTCTACCTTAAAATCACAGTCTTAAGTTAGTTTTTAATGTGATAAACATACACAGATAATAAAACCTTCTGATGTGATTTTAAGATAAAGCCACTATGAAGAAAGGTCTAGCGTACAAAGTAGAATTCCATTACTATCCAGATGACTGTGTAGTTAAATGTCTACCATGAGTCCAAACATAAAACATAGATAGCAAGAGCCTAAGACAACAGCAAATACATCTTGCTATTCCTATCCCAAGACATTAAAGGAAGCCATTGTATTTTTATCTTCTTGATCAATGTGGAAATTATATTAATTTTAAGCTTCTGCACTAAAAAATATACTCTCTCCAAAATTTTGATCCACTTGGACTGCAAGGAGATCCAATCAGTCCATCCTAAAGCAAATCAGTCCTGGGTGTTCACTGGAAGGACTGATGTTGAAGCTGAAACTCCAATACTTTGGCCACCTGAGGCAGAGAGCTGACTCATTGGAAAAGACCCTGATGCTGGGAAAGACTGAGGGCAGGAGGAGAAGGGGACGACAGAGGATGAGATGGTTGGATGGCATCACCGACTCAATGGACATGAGTTTGAGCAAACTCCTGGAGTTGGTGATGGACAGGGAGGCCTGGCGTGCTGCAGTCCATGGGGCCGCAAAGAGTCGGACACAACTGAGTGACTGAACTGAACTGAACTGAAGCATTCTTTTCCTTTCTATGAAAACTAGCTTGACCATGTTAGCTTAAAAAAAAAAATTCTGCATATGAGAGATATTAAATATGTCTAACTGCTACAGAAGAAATAAAGCAGAAAACATTCAGTGTCCCAGATCCCATGGGGCTAGCAAATATAATATCCAGTAAAAGCTGTAATTCTACACTGCCTCAAAAAAATTTTTTTTTAATTTTTTAGAGGTTACAACTGTCATTCTGACTTCAGTTAACTGTTTTCAACATTTCATTTTGAGTAGGAGCAGAGATTTGAACCAGTCATTAAAACCTTCTGTGTATATACAATAAATACACAGGTAACTTGTGGTCCATATGTGATCTGACTTTGGGAGAGACAAATATCTGAAGTCAAGAAAACCTCAGAGGAAAAAGTAAGGATATGTTTTTTTAGAAAGAAGGCCAGAAGGCAAAAAAGAAGGAGGAAGGGAGAGAGGAAAGAGAAGTGAATACAAAGGACAGAAACACAAAATGAGATATGACTTTACTGTATATAACTAATTTCACAATTAGAAGGCCTCACATTAACAACTGGAGAAGGAAATGGCAACCCACTCCCATATTCTTGCCTGAAGAACTCCATGGACAGAGGAGCCTGGTGGGCTACAGTTCATGGGGTCTCAAAGAGTTGGACATGACTGAGCAACTTTAACTCACTCACATTAACAACATGTATATCTTACTTTAAACAAATTTCTCAGTCATTTATTTATTTTGATCTTCAGATGGCAAATAACCAGTAAAACTGACCTTTTTTTTAATCCCCAGTAAATTAACTGCATTTACATAGTGTCCGGTTATTCTACTCTAACTTCCCTTTCTCTCCAGGCCAAAGTTGCCAAGATCGCCACTGATGTTCTATCAACTCCATATGACACCCACTACACCTATGGCCCAATAGCATCAACAATTTGTAAGTTTTGCCTATTACTTACTGTGTCGTTTCCCCTAATTCTCTTTTACAGATATTAAGGAAAGCTAAAGAATTCATAAAATAGAATTAGAACATATGGAATTGCTAATTTAAACTTCAAACAGGAGATTCTGAATAATATGTGAACCCAGAAGATAGATTCTACCTTTTGAGGGGATACGATTTTTCTAGAAGCAAATTATACTGAGTCTTTACAAGGTGACAAGGTCAGGAATAATTACATCAAGTTTAATTCTTCTACCTTCCTATTCTCTACCACCACCACCAAAGCTGCGGCAGAGTCCACCTTTTTTTTAAAATCATCTAGCTTTGACTGGACTCTTTCTTCCTTGGCCTTGTCCCTGTGCGAGCACAGTCTTTCTCCAAGCTCCTGGTGAGTAAATAGGCAGGCCAACGGTTTCAGCCACTTCGATCATGTGAAAACAGCCTCCTGTGGCTCTCATCAGCCGTCTCCTACTGTGTTCGACTGAAATCTACATGGTGAATTAAGGAAGGAGGTCCCGAGGTCCCAGTTCTGCTGCTTTTTCTTTTTTTAATGTCTCAGCACCACTTCTTATTCTTCACCAGTTTTAAACTTTGTCTTTCCATTTTGTTAATTATTGATTTAAATTTCTTACAAGTCAGGCACTGTTTTTAGCCCTTGATTTTCGCAATCTCAGTTACTCCTCACAATATTCTACGAGGTATGCAGTACTTGTAGTCAGCTTAATGGGGATACAATCCCAGCTTTTAAAAAAAAAAAAAAAAAGTCCATGGTCTTAACCAGTGTGCATATACTCATTTCCCATTTGGTTTTGCAGCTAAAATAACTAGGCTTTTCCATTTCCAAGCAATAAAAAGAAATTCATTTGGTTTTCACCAAAGACCCTTAATTCAGACCCTGGGAGGTGAGACCATTTCTCCTCCGATCCCACTGACCTTAGTTGGAAATTCTTTAGTAAAAACCACCTTTTCTCCAAACTATTCCCATGCTTCACTTCTTATGCCAAAACTTTACAAGAAATTTTAATGAAACTGCTTATAAGTTACAGTCTTAACTTTCTAACAAAATTTAATTCCTCAAAAGCAAAGATTACACTTCAGAGGTCCTCTCAGATCATATAATATCTAGTACAGGGCACGGAACAAAAGCAGAATTGATTATAAACTTACTCAATGAAACAGTGTCATAACTTGTCCAAAAGAAGTGAATATGGACTGAAACCACAACAAAACTAGACTTGATATAGAGTAACCTGTATTACTCTCTAGAGCCATGATAGCCAACATTTTTAGCACGAAGACTATTGCTTAACTTTTAAACATTTCATGGATCAACTCACCAGCACTAGATACAAATGACTATTTCCATTATACTTTTGGAATGTGTGGATTGAAAAAGTAAATACGTGCATTCTGTGGGTTCCATGTAATAACTCTACTTGGCCATACATTATAAATCACTTCCCGAGCCCAAGCTGAAAGAATACACTGTAACTAAAAGTCCATATCCTCAACAATTGCTGTGGAATTTGAAAATGCTGCAGTCATGGCAACAATTTCTAGAGCCCATTTACTGGAGGTTCCCTTGGTGGAATTGGAAAAATGACTTAAAAGGCCAGACAAGTTCCACTCTTAGAGAACATTCATCAGCAATCACACATCAGCCGGCTGTGAGCTTTAAAGGGCTGAGAGAAAATACACTGACACAACCCATCGCCAGCATCCAAATAGATCTTGCTGCAACATAACCAGGCCAGGGATTCATTACACATACAAGTGGATGACAAGATTTCAAAACAGGTGATGTACCCAGCTATATGAGCGGACAAAAGTAGGCAAAGAGCCGAAGGACAGAATGTCGGCCTACTGAGTGGATACTGGGAAAGAGCAGGGCCAGATAAACCAGCCAGGTATGATGTAAGAGTACTTTCTACATCAAAATGAGGGAAAACAAATATTCTTGGCAGCAAAGAACAAAGGGTTGCAAACAGGAACAAACTTTGCAAATGGCAGCTAGGGCGTCAAAGGATTATTACTCTCACACTTTCAATATACATACATATATACACACACACATACATACATGCATGCATGCATATGTACAATCATACATGTATGTGTATGTGACATGTACTTGCATCTATGAAAATTATGAGCATACTATAGCTATGCATTTGCACTGCATCACAATCATTTAATAAGCAAGAATTTACGGAGCACCTAACAGCCCAGCACTTGGACCTTTGAGAGATAGGTGAAAGACACAACTGCGTTCAAAGAGTTACCTTCTAACTGGGAGGAGGAGATGACTACAGATAACACAGCTCCATGCTATGATGTGTCACTTTAAAAAGGGGAGGATAAAGAGGAATTATTATTCTATACAACTGTGTTGTATTTTAAACTTCTTTATTATATATTATAAAGATTTTTTGAACAATTCAGATTTAGAAAGAATTGCCTCTTCCATATATGGGCTACAGCAACTTGACAGATGTATGAAACTCTAAGGAGTCGCTGCTTTAATAAAGCATTTGATTAAATGTTAATCAAACATTCATGAGAAGCAGGGGCAGCCAAGCAGTTAACTTGGTAAGAATAGAGAAGGGATGCACCCCACGATTAAAGTTTAGTCATTCCAGTATTCTAATTGTCATTTAACATGCTCCAGGATTTGGGGGAAGCAACTAGCATTTACCAGTATTTTTCTCTTTGATTTGATGGAGACATTAAAAGAGGACCGAGAGAGCATTTTTAAAACCCAAACTGTGGAAAGATCCCTGGCCTCACAGAAGAACATAAATATATCTCCAATTTTAACCTAACAAGCAAGTAAGTTCAAACCATAAAATCTAAAACCAGGAGGAAACCTAGATGATCTAATTTATGGTTCTCAAGCTTGACTTCCAATTAGCATTATCTGAGGAGCTTTTACAACACGCAGATGATCAGGTCCTGTCCCCAGAGATTCAGATTTCATTAGTCCATGATGAAGTCCAGGAATCTGAATTTTCTTAAAGTGGTTGAAGCAATTCTAAGATGAAACTAGGGTGGAGAACCACTGATATAAGCTAAATTCCTCATTCATAAACTATGATATTGAGATATAGAAAGATTTGATCCCTTAGGAGCAAAATAGGATCAAAAATAAGCATTCCATATCACAAACTGTACACCATGAAGCAAGACTATTCAGATGACACAAAAATTGATATTAAAATATCATGAAATGCTTATATTTGCATATTGACAGCATAGCCAATCCTTTACCATCTTAGAAATAACTGAAAATAGTGCCTGGTTAGCAAGAACAGTTCACTGAATTGCTAGAAACCAAAGAGTTTGAATCAATAATATCACCTATCTATGGGTCACATCATGAATTAAAAAGTTAATTTCAAAGTGCCATTCTTGTTGCCTTCCTACACATCAAAATCACTAGCTGTGCTCTTGTTTCTCAACTCTAGAGTACTGTTCTCTATACTCTTTCAGTTCAGTTCAGTTCAGTCGCTCAGTCGTGTCTGACCCTTTGTGACCCCATGAACCGCAGCACGCCAGGCCTCCCTGTCCATCACCAACTCCCAGCGTCCACTCAAATCCATGTCCACTGAGTCGGTGATACCATCCAACCATCTCATCCTCTGTCATCCCCTTCTCCTCCCACCCCCAATCTTTCCCAGCATCAGGGTCTTTTCAAATGAGTCAGCTCTTTGTATCAGGTGGCCAAATTATAGGAGTTTAAGCTTCAAAATCAGCCCTACCAATGAAGACCCAGGACTGATCTCTTTTAGGATGGACTGCTTGGATCTCCTTGCAGTCCAAGGAACTCTCAAGAGTCTTCTCCAACACCACAGTTCAAAACCATCAATTCTTCAGTGCTCAGCTTTCTTCACAGTCCAACTCTCACATCCAGACATGACCACTGGAAAAACCACAGCCTTGACTAGACAGACCTTTGCTGACAAAGTAATGTCTCTGCTTTTTAATATACCGTCTAGGTTGGTCATAACTTTCCTGCCAAGGAGTAAGCGTCTTTTAATTTCATTGCTGCTGCAATCACCATCTGCAGTGATTTTAGAACCCAGAAAAATAAAGTCAGCCACTGTTTCCACTGTTTCCCCATCTATTTCCCATGAAGTGATGGGGCCGGATGTCATGATCTTAGTTTTCTGAATGTTGAGCTTTAAGCCAACTTTTTCACTCTCCTCTTTCATTTTCATCAAGAGGCTCTTTAGTTCTTCTTCACTTTCTGCCATAAGGGTGGTGTCATCTTCATATCTGAGGTTATTGATATTTCTCCCAGCAATCTTGATTCCAGCTTGGGCTTCCTCCAGCCCAGCGTTTCTCATGATGTACTCTGCATATAAGTTAAATAAGCAGGGTGACAATATACAGCCTTGATGTACTCCTTTTCCTATCTGGAACCAGTCTGTTTTTCCATGTCCAGTTCTAACTGTTGCTTCCTGACCTGCATACAGGTTTCTCACGAGGCAGGTCAGGTGGTCTGGTATTCCCATCTCCTTCAGAATTTTCCACAGTTTATTGTGATCCATGCAGTCAAAGGCTTTGGCATAGTCAGTAAAGCAGAAATAGATGTTTTTCTGGAACTCTCTTGCTTTTTTAATGATCCAGTGGATGTTGGCAATTTGATCTCTGGTTCCTTTGCCTTTTCTAAAACCAGCTTGAACATCTGGAAGTTCACGGTTCATGTATTGCTGAAGCCTTGCTTGGAGAATTTTTAGCATTACTTTACTAGTGTGTGAGATGAGTGCAGTTGTGCGGTAGTTTGAGCATTCTTTGGCATTGCCTTTCTTTGGGATTGGAATGAAAACTGACCTTTTCCAGTCCTGTGGCCACTGCTGAGTTTTCCAAATTTGTTGGCATATTGAATGCAACACTTTCACAGCATTATCTTCCAGGATTTGAAATAGCTCAACTGGAATTCTATCACCTCCACTAGCTTTGTTCGTAGTGATGCTTCCTAAGGCCCATTTGAC